CCCCCCCCCCCCAATATATCATCCTTCTCATCTTATTCCCTGGGCAAAGCTTCACATCATATCAAAGTCCTGTAAAATGAAATACAGTTGCTTTAACTTTTATAATTATTTCATTTTTTAAAAAGCACTTTTATTCTTACCTGGTGCAATAACTCATCATCAAAGTTAGGGACACTTTTATCTCTCGTTACAGCTTTCCGCAATTCTTCTGATCTAAATAATGGCACATCAAAACAAAGATTTCAATGCATGTGCCATACACCTGTGCCTCTTTGGCCAACCACTAGATGGCAATATTTCAATGGCAAAAGACGCCAGCTTGCATTTATTCTTTAACAATTGGTTAAACTGTTAAAGAATAAATGGGAGATAAATGTCACAAGACCTACTCTGAAGTCTTAAGCCTGTAAAGGTGTGGATCCAACTGTTCGGATTTCTTCTTAGGACCACCGGCCACTTCTCCAATGGTTTCCATGTCGTCCTCTCTGCTGAAAGATCTGAATGTATTTTGCTGCCCTACCCTCACCAAATCTCCACTGACTGAGTGGGTTTACTCAAGGTGAGTCCTCACTGCACTAAGCAACAGGATTTCAACTAGTGGATCTGCTCTAGCTGGGATTAACAGAGGGATGGAGGCTAGTATTTCTAGGTGAACTTCGTTGAGCTGTCCCACTGCAGGGGAGTACAGAGCAAGAGGAAGTGATGGCCAAACTGTGCAGCCCTTTTGACCCTTCCTTGAAGTATAGCACTGTTTCTTGATATCCATATCTGTACAAATTTTTTCAGATTAAGCCATGAAGCCGTGTCTACTGTATGCTATTACTTGCTGCTAGGACAGCATCATCAGTAAACATTTTGACTTACTTGTTAAATCGATTGATCGACTGGACCAGCTGGAGGCGCCGAGCAACAAGATCATCCGTTATCTCAGGAGATTTGAAGCTGACTACAGATTTAAGTAATAAAAAAACATTAAACTGCATTCATCTCTACAAATAAACAACCCTGAAATCAGCAATACGACTATCTCAAACTAATTTTTAAAAGCATTTATGTTTAGGCAGAAGTATTTTAGGATGTAAATTCTATGAAAATTCCTCTGGCTGAAACTCGGGAGGGTTGTTCCAGCTATTTACAAATCCCACAGGTGGCCACTAGAGAAGAGGCAGAGTTTCTCAGGCATGGGAAGGAATACTTCTTCCTAAATTACACCTGCTATGAAATGTTCACACATTCTCTGAAAGCCAAGATTGCTTTTTCATCTTCAGAGCCATTGCTCCATCCATATACAGATACAAGTGAATAAATTATGTAATTTAAATCCTTCCAAATTATCAACTAAGGCTTCTCTTTTGCATAAGAGAAAAAGTGCCTTGCTGGATTCAGCATAGGTTCCAAGGTACAACATTATTTCCAAGATGCCCAGCAACTAGCCACAATTTAGTGGTCTGCTAGGAACTGGCCAGTGGACCCACCTCGAATGCATTCTAACAGAAAGCAACAATGATTGGTAGCAGTGACATTTCTTTTGGCACAGGAACAAATGAGCTGCCTCATTTATCCAGCCACTGAGGCTCTACCTGTTTGCTGTTCTCAGTTTGCTGTTACTTATGAAAGGGTAGCACTCACTTTTTTCCCTGATTTTCCCAGCTGTGTGAGCTTTGCAGTCTGTCTGTCTTCCCTCTTCTGCTGCAGCTTGTAACATCACGTGGATACTTGAATTCTATAAATGGAATGGATTTATTCTCATTAAGTAAACTCTGTTTAGCTAGAATATACTATACTTTAAGGCTAATGTTGGAAACAGTCACCCCACATAGACATCTGTGAGACCTAAATACACGCGAGTGGAAGGGCTGTGACACAATGGCAGAGCACATGCTTTGCAAGTGTGAGTTCTCAGAATTAGTGCCTGTCATAGTCCCAAGGCAGTTTAAAAAGACTCTTGCCTGAAAACCTAGAGAGCCAGTTAACAGCGAGTGTATTCCAGCCCTTGGCATAACTTTATCTTGGCTGAATTTCAAAAGGTGTGTACAAGTATCAGTTCATGTCTTCAAGGATGATTTGTTGTCTTCACGACCAGCCCTCTAGGTCAGGAGAAGAAAAATGTGTGAGAAGGAGAGAGAGAAAGAAGGATGTGGGCCTCTCTTGATTTTGACCGTTGCTGTGCCTGCCACTGGCACACAACTCATGACAGAAAAATATCTGGCCTGGACAAAAACTAAATTGAACCAATGGCCTGGCTTAGAACAAGGCAGCTTCCTGTGCACTCCTTCACAACTGACTGCCAAGGTCATGTCAAGGTTCAGCAGTTCATAATCTCTACCCATATTCCTCCACCCCATATATGTTAGCACTTGTAGGAATACATGATAGTCCAAGGAACCAACGTGCCACTTACAGGCTCAGCATAGTCCAGAGGCGTGCACTGTCTGTTGTTCCTAAGGTGGGTCAATGCTCTGTGTTGCAGCAACAGCTGAACCACAGCTTCGTAGCTCCCGATCACAGCTCTGTGGAGGGAGGTATTGCCCTGGTTATTGGAAAGGTTAACCGAGGCCCCATGCTGGAAAAGGAGAGAAGGGAAGGATAAAGCATGTGCAGAGAGCAATACTGAAGGAAGCCAATACCTAGCTAACTGCAAAGTATAACTGGCAGCTGAGGAAGATCCAGTTTTAACCAATTTATCCTGAGGAGCTATGCTCATCGGTGGGGCATGGGAAAGCAAGCAAGATAGCTTTTCCTGCTAAGAACCTGCAGTAACATGAAACCACAGGTTCTCAAATATCTTTCAAAAGCTCAAGGGAAGGAGATGGGGAGGAGAGTCCTGGGCCTGCCCCTTGCTTGTCACTGTCACCCAATGAAAGTCAGAACAGGAGCATCCCCAAGCAATCAGAAACAGTGAATTTTCAAGATCCTCAACTATGTAAAGAAATTCCATCTGCAACAGAAGCTCCAGACAGTCCCTCTCCCTAAGAAGATAACCACCTAGAGTGGTCCGGTGGTCCAGATAGGCGGGGTTTAAATCAAATCAAATCAAATCAATAAATAAGTAAAATAAACAAGCAACAGGATGGGGGCCAGAACTCTGTCTCTGCTCACTCTTTCAGATCAGCTCTTTCCTGAATGCGGCTTAAATCCAAATACGCTCTTGCACCTCTATAGCAGTTTGTGCCATGATAGTAGTGAGGACTGCTACATAATCATACGGTATGCAATACTAAAGCTGTGTTATGCAACTCCTGCACAAGTATCTTTCCTCCTTTATCTCGCAGTTTTTTAATTACCGTGTGTTCATGTTACAAAGTGAGTTAACTGATCTGTAACTGAGATCTAGTGCAACTAACTATAAATTTATATAAGGAATTTTTGCAGCAAAATGTCACTGTAAGGTTACATTTACCTGCATTTTCTGTATGACAACTTAGCCCCTCTTAACTCTGAACTTTAAATACTGGAATCATGATACAACAATCTGAATTTTATCATAATTTTCATTTTGAAAAATGTCCAGCACAAAATCCCTTTTTTCTGTCAGGGTTATCCACCAATCTTCCCATCCAGTGATTACTGAACATGAAAAATAAAAGGAAAGAAATAGTAAATATGAAGTGTACTTGAAAATTCCTCACCTGTAACAAGAAGGCCACTACCTCTTGATACCCATTCAAGCAAGCATACATCAAGGGAGTATTTCCATAAATATCCTTTTTGTTTTGTTTAGCGTTGGCCTCTATCAGACACTTTACTACCTGTTGAAAAATGAAAAGCAGGCACTAACATTTTAGCCTTGAACAGAGTCAACAACTGTCCAGTGATTAGAGAGAAAAAACTAGTCTTATAACTGCTGATTCAAGTATTACTATAGAGGCTGTAATATGACTAAATACCAAAGGTAAGGAAATTCAGGCCAAGCACCCAACTCAATGTCAGAAACACCCTCCAGGGCTTAATTCCTGTGATTGATGCAGTGCAGGGGGGATGAAAAATACCACCCTCTTTTAGCTTAATGGCCTTACTGCCAATATGTAAATTTCAAGGCAGATGTTTTCATATTTTAGAATGGGAACATTCCCATAGAAAACCTGGGAAATGGCCCTATCAAAGTGCCAAAGGCTGGGACCCCATGAAGCTTGGATTTGGTTGCAGGAGGAGCTCAAGTCCCCCACTCTTGCCTTAAGCAGAGAAAAGGCTATTTAGGTACCACTTGCCCAGCCTTTCTCCAACACATTATCTGGAAACATGCAGGAACTCTTGTCTACCGATGCATCTCTTCTTACAAGCAGAAAGAGAGGGGCTACAAGCTCTTTCCTCATGTGCTGGATGAAACCAGCTGATGCAACAACTGAATAGAGCTCTTGAAACAAACCTCCTAGGTGCTCAGTCTCTCAACAAAGGCTATAATTCAATTGCAGGACTCTGAAAAAGCTGCACAATATAATGATAGAGAAAGGGATTCCTTTCAGGTTCTCTAAGTTTTCAGAGGTCTGTGTGTAGAATACACTTTAAGCAATTTGCACACTGAAGAATATGTATATGGCAGATTAACACTAGCATGTTAACTTATGAATTTTTTCCATGTAGGAAGTCTTGTTTTCACTGTGTAGCAGCAGCGCTTTCTAGCTATCTGCTGCAGATGCCAATAGGCAAATCCTCAACATCTTTAAGGTACCACAACGTTTTTGTCTTCTTTGTTTTCGTTTTGTCTGACATGATAGCACAGACTAACACGGCTGTCTCTTCTAAAACTTGCACAAACATGGCTCTGAGAAATAATGAGTAACACAACACATTCTCTTTTAAGCTGTAAAATTTCCACCTCCGATCTTAAGTGGTCCAGTATGAGGACAAAAGCTTGGAAACATCACATATTTTCAACTCCCAACACCAGACTCCCCCCTCCAGTACAGCTGGAAGCTGCTCATAGTCCACATGGACACATCTCATCCCCAAATTCCATGCAAGTAGCCCCTGCTGTAATCACAACCTACCGAGAAGCCCTCCCGCTGACCACGCTGCCTGAGGAATGGTAGCGACTGCAGGCAACAAGGTCAACTCCCCAAGCTCTGGCCTGAATCAGGACGAAGCAGGGTGAAAGAGCTTGTTCACTCCTCCACGGCCTGCAATGAGGCCTCCCCAAACTGACACCTTACCCAGGCTATCTGTACACCTCAATTATTCTCTTATCTAAGGCCTGGTCAAACATATATTTGCTCAGCTGCCAATCATATTTCATTGCCTTAAGGTATCAAAGGTGATAAGGAGAAACCACTTACCTCAACGTGACCATTCTGGCAAGCCAGGTGAAGAGGCACTGTGCAGTTCGCATCTTTCGCCTCAGGACTGGCCCCATGTTTGATTAAAAGAGAGACCAAGTCAGCGTGACCATGGAGTGCAGCAACGTGGAGTGGCGTCTGGCCATCTTGGTTTGTAACATTCACTCCGAGGCCCTTAGTGGGCAACGTAAATAATTTCTGTGAAAATAAATAAATGCCAATTCAAAGGAAATCCAGGACTGCCTCCTCAAGTGACTCACCTCCCATTCAGTGGAGAGAGAAAAGGAGGCAAATCTCCTCCAATAGCTACTAGTACAAGGCATGCTGGTACAAACACACTTGCCAAAATCCTATTGCTTAGTGTAGCAAATGGCATAGACCAGGCCCACTGAATCAATGGGGATTTGGTGAGTAAACTCCTCCATAAGTCCCACTGATTAAAATGGGCCTGGTCCAATTGTGACTTCATCCGGTATAAGAAATCACAGAATAGGGCTATGTGAATCAATGGAACTTATGGAGAAGTTCACCAGAAATCCACTGATTCAATGGCCCTACTCTAACACAATTTACTACACTAAGCAACAGGATTTTTCAGCCATAGTATTCAATTGGATTTTAGTGTTCAGTAGAGTAGACCCACTGAAATCAAAGGAGTGTACATCATTGTTGGCTAACAAGTGTCATTCATTTTAAAGGTCCTGCTCCAATTATAACTAAAATTCAATTTAACCTCATCTTGCCTGCTGTCTTAGAAGAGAGAAGCAGTTGCTTAAACTGTAGAAACCACAGACCATTCTGAAATGCAACTGAAAGCTGGTCCACTAAGAAATGAAAAACCCAACTGGGCAATGGGAAGCGATGGGGATTGCTGACTGACAGACTAATGATGTTTGTTGCACCATCTTTTCTTCCTACTGCAAAAAGAAAAGAAGCAATTTCCATCTTATTCCTGTTGCCATAATGCTGAGTCTATACTGCGACACTGTACTTGCCTGGAGTAATTCTTGATTAACTATTACCATCAGAATTAAGAAAGTACTGGGTTTTTAATGGCCGTTTCCCCTATTCTATCCATGTAAATTCAATGGGAACTTAAATCCCAAGTCAGTGTGTATAGGACTGCAGGCTCAGCAGAACTCATTTATTCTGGTTTCAATCCATCTTCCTCCTCCTCCTCCTCCTCCTCCTCCTCACCACCACCACCATGAAGAAGAAAAAGAAGCACTGTATTGCTGTGGTATTTGCTGTAGCAAGACTACAAAAGGAAGAAGAGGCTGCAGCCGTATTGCTATTAAAAGCCTAAAATTCCTAGGCATAAGAAACATGAAACACCTCAGGTAACCTTAAACCCCTTACTATGTAAAAATCACAATCACATTATTAAAAATAATGCTTAATAATGAGCGGGAGAAAGAGGTAGCACAGAACTCTTATTTGGCTGTGTGATCAAAAATGCCTCTGAAGCGGAGGGCAATAAAAGGCCAGATCTAGCTGGGGCTCCCCCCTCAAGTGCAAAGTTTTTAAGCGCCCCCCCTGCCCCTTTAAGCAGTGGAAGGAGCTTCCCAGCCCTGCCGCCAGGAGGGCCCAATCCTTGCCACAGCCCAATTAGCCAGAACAGCCGCTTCTGGGGTCATAAACTCTGTTTAAGGACAGGGCCCGTTTTTAAGAGCTCCACAGGATTAACGGCAGGGCTGCTGCAAGCGGAGGGGGACAGGGAGGGCTGACAGAGACTGGAGAGCCGGGCCGAGACCTTTGGCTGCCTGAAGGAAAAAGCACAGCGCGATGGGCCCCATCCTCCCCCCCGCCCCCCCGGCTCCATTCTGCCTAAAGAGGCCAGCTGCTTCTTGAGCCGTTAAATGTTACTGCCATCCTTACACGAAGGGATCTGAAGCCCGAGAGGAGTGGCGAAGGTGCCATGTCCGGCTGGGTGGCATACACACCACGTCCTTAAAACAGAGGGGAACAGCTGGGGACTCGGGAGGAAGAGCAGGGAGGGGAACAGACCCACCTTTTGCGCAGGGCCACAACTGGAACACTGGCACAAGGGATGGCAAAACTCCACTCCCTCTACCTGGCCTGTGTCTTCAGGTTCCTCGAGATCCTCCTCCACCCATTCCAAAAGATAACGCACCGGGGGGGGGGGGCAGGAGAGAAAAGAGAGAAGAACCAGCCTTTTTTTTTTGTACTCTGGCTCCTAGGTTTTATGCTCCCCGGGGCAGTAACTCTGTCTTGAGACAACACTCCTCATACAAATGGAATACTTCCTCACAAAACATAACATTCATGTACAGTACATGGAAAACTAGAAAGTCAAAGAAAAGATGGGGCTCCTCCTAGAAATCTAGTTTTCTATGTGAGAGGATACTTTCTAGGCATCTTCAAAATGTGTACCTCTCTACAACCAGCACTGTGAAGTAGTTGAGCTGAGACAGACAGGAATCACCTCAGCAGGAACCAGGATTTAGCCTTTCATTCTCCCCCCTCCTCAGATCACATAAGATATCAGTGAGTGAAACAAGAGGCAACAGGAGACTGACAAAGCGTGTTTGTGACCCTTCATTTCCGATCAATCAAATAAAATCAAGAACAAGTTAAAGATTTTTGCTGCTTCACCGTTTGCCTCAAAACTGTGAAGTAAATGAGAAATGACTTCCTCCTGCTTAATTGCGGCTGTTTTGTGCCCCCCCCACCTCGCACGAGTCCTCTCAAATCCTTTTAGCCTGGATTGCTGAGGATTAAAAACAGGCCTTTGTGCCAGAAAATGCTGACACACTTCATCAGCTGTCACCTGCTTCTATTATCATTTTTAAAATTAAAAGAACAAAAAAAAATGCCGATTTAGTGGTTTATTCATCTACTTAATCGGCCTACAAATCTATGTCTGCTTTCTTTCGGCCAGTGTAAATCTCCCAAGGTATGGGAATAGATAAACCTTCCCCAGCACCCTTCACATCTAATGGGCTGCTGCTCCCATCATCCACAGCAATGTGGGCTCTGGATTTAAAGGCTTGATCTAGCAGATGATGCTGGGAAGCTGAAGAGGAAACAATAAGATGTTGTCACCCTTTGTTTGTAACCTTCCTACATCTCACCAGCACCACCTTCTTGTCTTTTCTTCTTCCACAAACAAAACAAAACAAAAACAACCTTTAAAGAAGAAAAAAGCTGGAATGGCTGCTGCACAAATATCTTTTGACCAGTGGCCTTCAGAGGTGTCTTTTCGGAAGCACGCTGGATGAGGCTTTCTGTTCAGGACAATGCAACTTCTAGCAGCAATCTATCCGAACACAAAGCGAGGTAGACACAATCTTTCTTTTCTAGCCAAATGTGGACAATTACTATTGTGTCCCTCTCTGGAAAAAGCATTTTGTTAGCTCCATCTGCTATCCCTCTTTAACATTTGTTATGTTTATTCCAAGACATTTTAATTCTTCCATGGTGGTTGCTTTAGAACAGAAAGGAAAGGGGTATAAAATGAGCCCTATGGCTGATCAAGACTTTGCATGGGGGGCTGGACGGGCCAAGTGCAGCCTGCAGGCAGCAACCAGCCCCCAGGAATTATTTCTAAATTGCCCCCCAAGGCCAAAACAATCGTCAACAAAACAGGCACACACACACCCGCAGTCTTGGAGGCCATGCCATGCAAGAGAAAATCGGACTACCATTTGTCAGATCTACTTCGATTTGGAATCCTACATTGAGCAGAGGGTAGTACTGTGTGAAACAGGCAAGGGAGGCAATCTTTCCAAACCCCAAGCCTTCCCCAGTACGGGAAATAGTAAAGTACAGTGGTGCCCCGCATAGCGACGATAATCCGTGCAGCAAAAATCGTCGCTATACGGATTCGTCACTATGCGGATTTTAAAAGCCCATAGGAATGCACTGAAACCCCTTCAATGCGTTCCTATGGGCTTAAAACTTACCTTTTAAGCGAAAATCCTCCATACGGCAACCATTTTGGGCGCCCGGTAAGCGAGGAATCCGTCCCTGTTTTACCCAGCGGCCATTTTGGAACTGCTGATCAGCTGGGGAAACACATCGTTATGCGATAATCGGTAAGCGAAACAGCTTACCGATCATCGCAAAGCGATTTCCCCCATAGAAAACATTGTTATGCGATCGCAAAAGCCATCGCAAAAACATCGTCACTATGCGGATTCGTCATTAAACGGGGTGCCCATTGTGCGAGGCACCACTGTATAAGTGGAACTACTGTGTTTCCCCGAAAATAAGACAGAGTCTTATATTTATTTTTTCTCCAAAAACCACATTAGGGCTTATTCTCAGGGGATGTTTTATTTTACAGTCATGTCATCTTCTGGTTGTGGCACAAGGGTGGAGGGCAGGGTTTCACTCAACCGGGGCTTATTTTGGGGGGTAGGGCTTATATTATGAGCATCCTGAAAAATCATACTAGGGTATATTTTCAGGTTAGGTCTTGTTTTCGGGGAAACAGTATCATCCAAAATCTAGGGGGCAAAAATTATGCAAACAAACTGGAACAGGTTCAGAGGAGGGCAAAAGATGTTGAAATATTGTAAGCGTAACCCAGCATGTATGTATATACAAGTATGATCGAGTTACATAACTGACACCTTGGAATTTATTTAACCAATCAGATTATGCCTGGTGTTAGCCAATAGATGTTAAGCGAGTTAACTGCCAAACAGATAAAAAGATACTGTTGTTTGTATGTCGGAAGTAGTTTAGAAATAGTCATTAGTAAGCATTAGAAGCAGCACGCTTTGCTTTTTGCTTTGATAGATATTGTCTGTTAGGAGTCTGCTTGTCTGTTACTATGTCTGATTAAGAAAATGTTAGGAAACCATTATTAAGTCTGTCAAGCATTAATCTGTACCAAGCCAAATGTTCCAAGCACTATTAGTTTATTTTACATATAAATTTTTTTGGGGGGGTGGTAAAAGGTAAAAAAGTTCCCTGATCCCTGGTTTAAAGTTTGTGCCATGTGTTACTTTTCTGACATTGTTGTAATATCTGTGGTTGAAGGTGGAGTAAAGTCCATCTCCTCCCCTTTTACTCTAGTGGCTTCTTCCCCACCCTGGCCTTTTCTTTTTAAATTACTGTTTTGTAGCATTTGGAGAAACACTGAGCCTGTCCACACTGGCATATAGATCAACATAAGGATCACGACAGACAGACAGACAGACAGACAGACAGACAGACAGACAGACAGACAGATAGATCTAATGCGCAGCACATATGAGTGTCCTACTGTATGTCATGTAGTAAATGTTTAAAAAGGTTTTACCATGACCATATGAATATTATTTGAACTGCTGACACACACAAGGGGAATACCATTCGTGATCCATCTGGTTTTTTATACTACACTTGAACCACTGTGTACAAACTCTCTTACATTTCAACAAGGATGATTGGGGGACTGGACGCCAAGCCCTCTTTGCTGTATGAACCCTAAGAACCTATCAGTGTCAATTTCATGAAAATGCCTCCTTCTGAATCGGACTGTCCATTCAACTCACCAGTTTAATGCACGCAAGCAGAGGTGCTCCTAGCCAGTCACAAGGCAAATCAGGGGAGATGGATTCAGCCTCTACTGAATGGAGTTACGCTCCCTCTGAAAAGTCAGGTCTGCCGCCTGGACTTAACCCTGAGCTTGGATACACTGGTTTCAGGGGTGACCAAGAGTTGATTTGCAGTTAAAGCTAGTGCACCAGCTATGCCCATTCCTTGAGATGTCTGATCTCGCCACAGTGACACATACATTAGTTATATCCCATTTGGATTACTGCAATGCACATATGGGGCTGCCTTTCAAGAATGTTCAGAAACCTCAGCTGGTTCAAAATGTTGCAGCCAAATCGCTGACTGGCGTTACTTATAGAGAGCATGTTCCAGGGTATTTGAAGCATTGCATCATGCCATATAAACCTTCTCAGCTTTTAAGATCTTCTATGGGGGCCCTTCTCTTGGTTCCATCATTTTCCCAAGCTCATTTGGTGACGACACAAGAGAAGGCCTTTATACTACAGTAGCTGCTCCCAGGCTTTGGAATGCACTGCCTTGAGCAGCCAGGTTGGCCCTCTTTCTATCTTATCTTTCCATCATCAGGCAAAGAACCTTAATCTTCAGGCATTCTCTTAAGCAGTAGGTTATCTCAGAAACACTGGTTTTTAACTGACTTAAATGTCTTTGACTTGTTTTATAGTGTTTTTAAAATCTGTTATTTTATCTGTGTTTTTAAATCTGCTGTTTTTATCTAAAACAACTATTTTATCCAAGACAGCAAAGTGGCAAAAACAAACAAACAAACAAATGTGGAACTGGGTGCAGTAATTAACTTCCACCAAATCAGAGAGCTTCTAGATCTTTTGATGTCAAAGCAAAATTTCAAAGTCTGTGGGCCATTTCTGATTAAATTTCAGTGGTGGCTGAGTCAGATATCTAATGGACATGGATGCATAAATCCTCCTCAGCTATCTCTTATTACTACGTTCAGAATAAAGCATGCAAAATAATCAATACACATAAGGTCTACTGACCACTGTATTTTCTTAAGGCAGATTTTCCATTTTCTTGTCTAAAGCACACAGATTGGACATATATTTTCTATTCCCCACACAGCTCCTAGATACAGAATTCAACAATTCCAAGTCTGCTTGCAACATGCTTTACAATTTATAAAAAGTTTCAAAACAACCTAGACTTTGCTGAGTAACTTTTAGCTGGGAACTCCAAACAAAGACAAGGACCAGAGATCACTTCTGATTGAGAGAGCTGGATCTCAAGGACAAAATGTGAGGTCTCAGAACTTGTCATCAAGAGCAACGTTCCAAAGTATGGATCTTGGCAGCAGCCCAACCCCGTCAACTGGGCACTCTATGGGTCTCATTTATATATCATGCCAAATCATGGCTGGTACTTCCAAGCATACAACAGGGGAGACTGGCCATGCTTTGGACCGACATCTCTGATTTCATTTTCCATCCATTCAGCACTTCTGACTCTGAAGTACAATGATTCCCACAGGCACAACAGGTAAAACTGCACTTTTTCAGTTAAGACACCATGCCAGCCGATAATTCACAGAACCCATGGCTTCAAAGCTTTCTGTAAACCACAATCTCTGATTCTCATTTTTCAGTTCCTATTATCAGACTGCCATATATCTAGGCTTCTTTGGGTGTAACTTGTCATGTTGTCTGATCACAGAAATTGGAGTTTGCAGCCTTCTCTTTTTTTTTTTTAAAGGAAACTATCCACCCATCAAACATACAGTGCTATAATTTTGCTTCCCATCAACTGTTTCGTGTCACAATTTTAAAAGCCTCCTGAAGAAAATAATGAAATTGCTACAGCGGTTTCTTAGTCATCACAGGAGACAGTAAATAATGCAAATTATAGGATGAGAACAGCCAAGTTGATATGGCTCAGTGAAAGGTAATATATTAAAAATCAAAGCATGCTCAATTGCTTTTCATTTTTGTAAGCCTTTTATTTTTTAAAAAATGCATTTTTGGATTGCATTAAAAATTGTCATGACTTCTTTTTCAGAGCATATACTATTACTACAGAATAATGAAAACTTCCAAGTTTCCGTGACTGGACCAGTTTTTATTAATTTCTTTTTGTTCCTGGACACAAGCAACTAAAGACAACAAGAGCATTATTACATCATCTTTTAGAGGTTTTCACACATGGCACGCCCTTTCAATTTTACAGAACTTCCATATTTGATTTCAAATTGCATTAGAAACTGTCCTGGGCCTCAGAAATGGAGCGGGGACATTCAAGAGCACTTGGCTGCATTCTCTGTTTGCTCTATATTTTTCCCCAACAATGAAGGTAAGACAGACCCGATCTCCTCTTTGGCATCTGACCCCATGTGCTATCCCTGCAGTCCCCAACCTGGGACCCTTTAAATTTAGTAGCTGGGCTGGCTGGGAATGAAGGAAGCTAGAATTCAGCACATCTGGAAGATACCAGGTTTGGGAAGGCTAGATAGCATTCTGTGATACAAATAGCACCACTGTCTTGCATCAGGCAGGAAAACTTTGGCTCTTCAGATTTTTGGCCTCCGCTTCCATCAGACACATTCATTATAGCCAGCGGTAAGAGATGGTATGAATTACAGCCCAAAATACATGGAAGGCCAAAAATTAATATCTTTGCAAAAATTACTATCAAGGCCTCCAGCCTCACTCAGGACCCCATTCAGCCCTTCCTAAAGATACAGCATCACAACTATCAAGGTAATGTGGTCAGGGAATCTCATGGCTCTTTGGAAGGGCAGCACCTGTGACCTAATTCAGCAGCAGGCATTCTGCTCCCTGACACCCAAGATGACTGATGGATGAAGCAACATGATCCAGGCGTGCGTCACCAAGGGATAAAGCTGAATTCTAGATCCTCTCACACCTCCACCTGACTATATTTAACACCTGTGTGTTCATATCTAAAACTCCAAATATTTAAGTGGGCAGTAGCTTTATTAGGATCAATTAAAAATGCACCCAGAAAGACATAAATATCCCTCCTCCCTAATCTAGCCCAATGAAGGCATCTGGAAAACTTTAAAGCTTTTATATTTTGTAAATGTATCTAGAAAACCGTCCAAAGGGTTATCATAAGTCATGAGTGACTTGACAGCATATGATTATTATAGCTGATCCTAATGAAGGTACTGCCTACCCATGGATTATAGTTTTCTGCTTTATTACTACAAATCAGTGTGGCCACCTTTGTCTTTTCTGGCCTTTTAAAAAATTACACACTACTAGAAAAGTCTACCACACCATACCTTCAATATAAGTGATTGTCAAAGCCATCTGCAAAGTTTCAAAGTAGTAATACAGAACATATGGAAGATCTTACCATTTCCAAGTCTCCATCAGCAACTGCTCTTAAAAGTTTGTCTACCTATAAGAAAACAAAACAAAACAAAACAAAAAGCATTTTGACTATGCTATAGTATCATTTGGTGGAAGATTATGTGTTCTTTTATATGAAACACCTCCCTACTCATGGAAAGTGAGTGTGCCTAGGAGAGGACTAGGCCAGCACACTTGACCCTAATATACTATATTTCCATAAACATGGTGTGGGTTTTTTTGACACAGGAGAGGGTGCAAGGATTCCAAACCTGCACCAGAAATATCTCGTTTGGAATTTAACTGCTATAATTGTATTTTTTGTGATTTTATGCATGATGTGTTTTTATCGATGTAAGCCGCCCCGAGTAGACATATTCCAAACCTGCACCAGAAATATCTCGTCTGGAATTTAACTGCTACAATTGTATTTTTTGTGATTTTATGCATGATGTGTTTTTATCGATGTAAGCCGCCCCGAGTAGACATAGTCTAGAGAGGAGCGAGGTAAAAATTGAATAAATAAATAAATAAATAAATAGATAAAATAAATAGAAATCACACAGGACTGTCCATAAGCTGCTACAGAAGCTTCAGGAGGTCCAGAATGCAGCAGCCAGATTGATTGCTGGGGGGAGGAAATTCAATCATATCATCCCAACTCTGGTCCACTTGCACTGGTTACCGGTCTGTTTCCATGCCAGGTTCAAGGTCTTGATACTATCACAGAAAGCTCTAAATGGTTTGGGACCTTGCTACCTGTCTGAACATCTTCTTCCAAGTTCTTTGGACCATCTTTCCCGGCTCTCACCTGTGACTGCTGACACTTGTTAGCCCTTTAAATATCGACAAGGGACCGGGCTTTCTCAGCAGTGGCCCCTCCTTTGGAATATCCTCCCACAAAATGAATGTTATCTTCATAGCAGACTAATATTCTCCTGTACAAATACCCATCTAAATTCACAGGCAATCCTTGGCTTGAAACAGAAGAGCAGATCTGGAGCTGGTGGTTGTGGCTTAATTCATTAAGAAGGGCAACACAGTGTAGCAACAAAGCATTTTCTTAGTCAGGAAGGAGCACCTACAATAAATCACAGGCAAATGGCCACAAAGTAACATTGGATTAAAGAATGAGGCTATAAACCTCAGGGGCTACCAGGTCTAAGCTGCTGGTAATCTGTCTTCCCTGACTTGAACCACAGCCTCAATCTCTGCAAGGCACAAGTTTGTCCCTTTAAGAAAAGAACAAGCAAAACAGAAAAAGCAATTCTCAGTTTGTAACAGTAACACACATTACTGTTTATTTATAAAACAATAACAATTGGTTAGACTCCATCCACATGAAGGCAGCTATCCGGCTCTGAGGGTTTATCCCCTATTCTTTCTAAAGTCTCTGTTACTGGTGATGTTATAGAAGGAAACCCATTTATACACCACCAAAAAGAAGGGCAAAAAACAGACAATTAATGGCAAAAAAATTTGCATACACCAATTTATACATGTATGCTGTCATGTCATTTCTAACTTATGGCAACCCTTTCCAGAGTTTTCTAAGTATCTCTCTCTCTCTCTCTCTCTCTCTCTCTCTTTATTTATTTATTTGTTTGTTTGTTTGTTTGTTTGTTTGTTCGATTTATATCCTGCCCATCTGATATATTCTACCACTCTGGGTGGCTTACAGAATATCAAAACAATTTAAAAAACACAAAAACATTAGCACACAACAATAACAAATAGTGCAGCAATAAATAAATAATAAATAGCAAAGCAAAAGAAATCAGTAGTTGACAGGAGGGAAGGCCTGGATGTACATCCGCCAAGTACTGAGGTCCTAAACCATTTAGGGCCTTATAGGTAAGCATTAGAACTTTGAATTCAATGTGGAATATGTTGGTATTTTCTCACTCCACTAAGGAATCTGGCCGCTGCATTCTGCACCACTTGAAGTTTCCGCATCAGCCTCAAAGGCAGCCCCACGTAGAACGTGTTACAGTGGTCTAATCTTGAGATTACGAGCCATGTACCAAGGTAGTGAGCGCCCCCATGTCAAGGTAGGGTTGCAGGTGGTCTAATCTTGAGATTATAAGCACATGTACCAAGGTAGTAAGCGCCCCCATGTCAAGGTAGGGTTGCAGCCGGGCAATCCGCCAAAGGTGAAAAAAGGTAGTGCGAACTACCAACGCCACCTGGGTTTCCATGGTGAGCATCGGGTCCAGGTGTACCCCCAGGCTGCGAACCCCACTCTTAGCAGCCAGGATCACCCCCCCAAATGTGACAGAGCCACCCAGGCCACCAACCCCAAGAGCGTCTGCCCTCAGAACTTCCGTCTTGTCCGGGTTCAGCCTAAGTAAGAAGTGCTTAGAAGTGGTTTACCACTCCCTTCGTCTGGTGGGTCTCCTGGGACTATGCCGTTTGTCCAAGGCCACACAAGTTGGCTCTTCTGGAATGCAGAGGGGCGGCGGGGGGGAGGGGGAATCAAACTTCCAAGTTGTGGCTCTGCAGCCAGATACCTAACTCACTGAACTATCCAGGCAATAATTTATATTTACAGATGAAAAATAAGGTTAAAAAAGACAGACCAAAGGGAGATTGGTCTTTTATCATCTTGGAGGCACCTTGCAACTGACGCCAAAGGATTTCAGCCTGAAATAACCAAATGATATAAGCTGATAGCATGCATGCGCTTATGCACACAGGTGAGAAGCACTGCTTCTTGCTTTTCGGCTGCTATTACCACTACCCTGAATCTCTGATGATCAGCATCACTGGATGAGATCACATTCTGTTGTTATAGAGGCCACATAAAGGCTTCTTCTCAGCTCCAAGAGGGCCTTCCCACATTTCTTTTTTAATATTAGAAGCGGAAGATCACGTTCTTGGAAGGCTGCAAGAAAAGCACAATTTACTTTTGAAAGGGATATTGAGGAAACCAGGAATAGCTTTGACGCTTTGGATTTCTACTGTGCTGTTGGTTCTCAGGGATTCATCAGCTTACCTCTTTATAATTTGTTTTAGTTTCTTCTTGTCCTGCACCTGCTGTTGCCGTTGTTGCTGATGACAAACTGGAGACACACGACACTTGGCTGAGGGTGTCCTCACCACCCTGAGGAGATCGAGTTAAGGACTGAAGGAAGCAGCAAAGAAAGGAAAAAGAAGGAAGAGCTGGCAGCATCACTGTGACCACAGCAGTTCGTCAGATGAGTATCTTTTACAGTCAGGAAGGGCTTTGCAACGAGGGGACTTGGATTACCTGAGAAGCACCCTGGCCTTTTTCGAAGGTGAGGTAGTTCAGCTCCATTAAAGACAGAATCTGCAGAAAAGATTAAAGATTTAGGAGAGGACTGCAAATCTGCCTCTCGGGACACTTACGGATCAGAAGGCAACAGGACAGTCACACACAGGACATGATAGACAATGGCAGATTTGAGAACATCCCATCTGCAGCATTTATTTTGTATTTTGTGAATTTTAAAGCTGACCTTACATCACCCAAAACAAATGCAAATTTATATTCCAGGGAGCTTGGCTTTCTATCTTCTTAATGATTAAGCGCTGGTTAAAAATAATCCAAGGGAAATTCTTTTTTAAATCCTCCAAAGAGCCATAAAACAAAGAGTATCACAGAATTAAATGCACGCTACATGGACACCACATCCTAGGAGCAAAACAAGGGCAGTCCTCTGTCAAAAGCCACTGGAAACTGTTTTTCCTTTTCAAAGTCCATGGCTCTATCATCCCTTCTTTGCAATCAAACAGCCATTAGAAACCAAAGAAGATGTCCATCTTTTAAAAGCTATCAACACATAGTTTACTAAAAAGTACCGTGGAATTTAATGCACATTGCACAGGAGTCTCCTTCATTCGGTTTTCAATATGCGGGCTAGCTCCATTTTGCAGCAGGACTTCTATGATCCCTTGGTAACCCCAGCGGGCAGCTATGTGAAGCGGCGCGTCCCCTTTTTCGTTCCCAATGTCTAATTTACAGGAATGGATGTCATAATAGACTAAGGCCTTGACACACTAGACAGTTGAAACAGAAACAAAAAAACAAAAACACAGAAAGCTGCGTGAAGAGTTCATACTCAAGCCATGGAAATAGAAACAACAGAAATTGCTTTCTATCCCTGATTTAGAAAGCACAGAATTGTCAGCACTGCCCTTGAGATCTTACATCCCCACTGATCAAAAACAGACATGATGGTTCCTACCATGATGGGAACAAAATGCCTGTTGTTTCTAAGAAGGACATTGGCCTCTTTAGAGACATTCTGTTACCATGTTTATTATGTACTGTAGAGTATTACTAGCAAACAGGAGAAAAGGGGATTAAGAGAAACAGCATCACCAAAATTACTACCTGCATACCAGAAGGTCAAAGATGGATAATCCATGATGGCACATTGGGTCAATATAGGATGTCAGAACTGAAGGAGAAGGAACTCTTAGTCACTGTTCTCACAAATCCTATCAAGAACCACTGGCCTGCAACATGGTGGAGAAAACGTTGGCCCTTGCGATGTTTTAGGTTTCACCAACTCCCATAGTCCTTTACCACTGACCACATCAGGTGAGGCTGATGGAAGCTAAAGTCCAAAACACATGGTGGGCAAAATGTTCCACACAACCCTGTGGAACTCATTACAGCAGTGGCTTTCTGGTGGCGACCTACCCAGCCAGCCCTAAAAACACCAAGTACTTAACCTAGGGCCTTTGATATGTAAAGGTAATGCTCTGCTACTGAGCGTGTTCTTAATCTGCACATCCTATGAAATAATATCATGTGCAGAATTTGGAGAAAATAATTTGGGGGACTAAAAAGTAATATGCACTGGTACTGAAGAATGGTGGGTTGCGAGAGTTCTAAAAATATTTTAACTGTTTTATCTTTTTATCTTTTTTACTGTGTTTAAATTGTTGTAAGCCGCCCAAAGACCTTTGGGTAGTATCGATGGCATATCAATTAAATAAATAAAAATCACGTAACTGAAGCACTGACCACACAATTAATTCATGTTCTTTTCTGTCAATTGGCCAAAATTGAACTGTGGAGCAATGGAGAAAACCCTATAAACAAAACTTTCTCATACTCATCTGACAGGGGGTGGGGGAGGACTGTCACAGTTTGAATTCTGTATAAATAATGTATTATGTAACTAAAGGTTTTAAGAATTGTAACCCTGGAAATGTGAATCGTAATTACATTATGGACGTTTGAACAACAATGAACTGCCTTGTAGTGGTTACTCAGGATAAAGAGATGTAGCCTTGAAAATAGAAAATAGAAACAATTTAAGTAGCAATATACTGAACGTCCAAAAATCTGTGTGAATAGCAGAGCCTATGGAAAAGTCAGTTTAGTCCACAGTTGTTGCTGCTCGCATAGAGAATGCATGATGTTTGCTACCAAAAAAGACTGTACAGTATAAGAAAATGCATTGAGTCTGCTACCTTAGGACAGATAAAAGAGGATGTTTTGTTTCTTTTAATCACAAAAATTTTGCCTGGGTAGGACAGCCTATGAGATTTTGCATTAGCCTTCTACTAGAAGAATGTTCAAGCTTGGTAAGAATATATAAACCAAAGATAAAGAATGTACAAACATCCAGGTCTATAAAAGGGCTGGTGTAATGTAAGCAAGCAGCCAGCAGCACAGAGTCAGCATGAAGCCAGCTGTGCCACAACAAAGCCTCGCCAAGCTGAGCCAAGAAACTAAGGGGAGGAAAAAAGATAATAGCAGCTGCAAAGACAGTGGCATAGAGCCAACACAGAGAAAACATGGATTTTCCTCAATAGATTTTAACTGGTCGACAGCTGGGTGATCGGGTAGAAAATTTAATGTTTTCTATGTATGTTCAAGTATGCTAAAAAGCTATGAAATGTATTTCTATCCTTATTATTACTTTAAAATATCAAAGTTACATGTTTTCAACAATTTTGAAGTATCTTTATGCTTATGGAACACAGAAGCAATGCAGATGAATAACACTTGTAGAAGACAAGTTAATGTTGCCTGGAGTCATTTTTCTCCGTTAACATGAGTGAAAACATCTTCTGAAGAGAGATGGATCAGGCTAGAAGCCTCATTTTTCGCAAGCCAGCCAGAAGACCAGACTGATTTATCTCTGCACCATGACATTTCCAGTGAACCAGGCAGTAGCAAGCAAATGACATATACCTTGATACCAAGATGAACTTTAATGTGAAAATCATGATTATTTGACTCACACTGGTATTCAACCCTTTCAGGGATAAATGTTAGCGGTGATGGAACATCACAGACTCAAACTACCAAGGCATGTAATAAAAGCTCTATAGAGTTCTGAGGGCATTTTTCGATTATCATACTTTTGACCTTGACATCTCCATATTATAAGAGAGTGGGTTAGAGCAGTGGTCCCCAACCTTTTCTGACCTGCAGGGGGTGTGGGGTCCATGCGCAGGGAGGTGGGGCACTCCTGCGCTTGCGGGGGGGACTGGGGTGCACTTGCATGCATGTGCAGATGGCGCAGGGTGCACTTGTGGGGGGCTGGGTGCACTTGGACACATTGGTGGATGGTGCGGGTGCGCTTGCAGGGGTGGGGGGCACTCGCATGCATGTGTGGATGGTGCAGGGTATGCTTACAGGGGGCAGGGCTAGTGTGCTAGTGTCTCTTTGGTTTCAAAAGCAATAAAGTTTTATTGTTCTATTACTAAGATGCACGCTGTGTTCTGTTTTGCACACCCAGCCCAGTGAACAGGAGCTGGGCTGAAGGGTCATCCTTCCAAAACAGAGCTCAAGGTGGTCACATGGCCCTCCCAATTTTTATACAACAAGCCTGTGAGGTAGGTCAGGCCGAGGTTTAGTGACTGGTCCAAGGTCTACCAATGAGTTTCATGGCCCAATGGGCATCAGAATCTGGATCTCTTTTAACCCCAGGTCCAACACTCTGACAACTACAATACACAAACACTTTGATAGATTTTTTTCCCTGTGAAGTCCTATGGCAACCAGCTTACATTTCTAGTTATCAAGGCTGCAAAGAGAGTTTTGAAAACATAATGCTAAAAGATACACAGTTTGCTTCCCATCCCTCTCCTCATCCCCAATAGCTGAGAATTTAGTGATTCTAATGCAGCTCATACACATGACAAATGCTTGTTAAATTTGCTGCAAACTACTTACATCCTCATGGCCGTAAGTGCAAGCTAAATGCAATGCCGTGTTGCCATTATTGTCTTGTACTTCATTCCTAGCCTTATAGTGCAATAGGAGGAGCTGAAAAAGAAAAAGGCAGTAAATGGTTTTCTGGGAGGGACTGTTTCTAAAAGAAAGGGAAGGAAGAAAACTACTGTGGCTCATTCAAGTGGTTAAACCAAATTAAATCTCTAATTCACATCTTTGCTTGAAAGTCAGCAAATAACAGATCACCTTTTGCTACCACTTTGACCAGATGCCTGACCCATATGAAAGCTTCTTATTCTCCAGTAGTTAAAACCTGTTCAGAGTTATTGCCAAGCTATTCAGCTATTAGATCAGCCACTAGAAACTGCAGTATGGAAAGATCCAAGCAAGATTAGTGTTTGACTCTGCAAAACAAAACAAGCAGCTTCAAGCTACATGAATGCATGATGTCAATCTGACTGAGAGACTCTTTATGGTGGAGGCTGGATTTCAAAGAGTTTTTTAAAAAGTAACTGATATGGAACATTTCCAGCAACCAAATTACTCCCTTATCTGTTACCTTTTGGAGTACCATGTGCATGTAACATAAAACTTATAGAAAATTTAAAGGATCTTCCATTCTCTCAGATTCCCATTTTTACAGAGTTAATCACTCGCGGCTAACAATCTTAAAATAATACAGTATTTTACAGAGTTAATCACTTATCTCTCTGAGATTAACAAGCACACATCAGGAATGAATACAGATAACAGAAAGGATTCTTTTCCCTTACCCTCCTGTAGCCTGGATGGGGGTGGGTGAGGAGAGGGAACCTGGAACAGCCGGATTCTATCCCTCTGCAAGGACCACAGCCCTCCCCCCATGCATCCTGGTCTCCAATCATGTATTTTAAAAAGAGGTCTAGGTTGATTTTCTAATGTCTGAATAATCCAGATCCACAAATGTCAATTTTGTTTTGCAAAGGAAACACAGAAGTATTGCTCAATAAATTTATTACTATTTGCAGAGAAATTGCAGTAGGTTTTATGAATGACAAGAGTAACAGAGCAGTAAGGAAATTTGGGACCAAATGCATTTAATTTTTGGGCACCAAAGCCCTTCATGACCTGACCAGCAAAGATCACATGACCTCTGTCTTTGTATGGTGCCCCACACACACACTTAAGGTGCAGTAGAAAGGTTGCTACTAAGAATACCATTCTGGAAAAAGATTATTTAAAAAAGAGTGTGGGGGGAAGGCAGGATAAGGTCGGCAGGACAACCTGTCTTCTCTCGTTAACTTCAACACATTAATTCTCTGTTCCTTTCTTTCACTGATTTTCCTACTACTACCAAGAAAGAAAAAAGCTTTGAAGCCAAAATCTGGATACCGTAATCGGATAAGGCTGTACTTCTAAAAGGGAAGGCATCATATTTGAGGGAGACTTCTATAAAGTATGCCCAGGTTGACCCCGCCCTCACTGGCAGGCCCTTGGGGGCTTACATGGCAGTCCTCTAAGTAGCACGCCATGACTAAGTCTAGCTGCCAGTTTAATTGCTCACAATGCAGAACAGCAACACTCCATGGGGGGGCACTATAGGAAATGAAAATAGAAGCAAAGCCAGACCACGAAACAAAATTAAAGCAGACCTAGTTGAGATGCTGGGCATGGCTTTCTAGTTAAGTTTTCTTACTAAAATCAGACTTTAGTTGAGATGCTGGGCATGGCTTTCTAGTCTTCTGCAGCATCTGAAGTGTTAAACTGGATCACCGTCAGCTAAATCAGAAGCCTAAAGGAATCACTACCTATTAAAACTTTTGTAGATTAGTCATTTACCAATTCAAACCACAGAACCAAGTCACTGAAAAAGATGCTTCTGCTTTTAACTAGTAATACTCAACTGAAAAGTATTCCCTTAAAGAGCAAAAGCGATAGCTACTAGTGTTATTGCCGTTAGGTTTTCTTACTAAAATCAGACTCGTGTAAATTGCATTATTAACTCTTCGGTGCTTACAGTGACATTCTGATATCCTTTCTGACAGGCTAGGTGAAGTGGTGTTGATCCATGGTAATCTGTAGCATTGACAACAGCTCCTTTGGAGACTAACAAGTCAATTAAGGAGGCTTGCCCTGTGGGAAAAGGGATGCTTGTTACAATCAAGATGGCAGCCCTCTTACGGCGAAGTAAGGAAGTTCCGTTTTCCAAGCCAGAGGGTGAAGAGTTCTTGCCTTCCCTCGCTTGCCCAACCAGTGTCGTAGCTTTCTTAGCATTTGCTTGTCGTGCTAAGCTAAACACCTCTCAGACAGCAGGTTATTTCAAGGCAAGGCTCAGGACAGCATTTTCTAGCAGCTGTAAGGGAAGCAGACCTCTCTCTGGAGGGACTTTCTGAGTAAGAAATTAATGCAAATACGAATTGCAGGTGCAAAGAACAGTGTTCCTATCCTGGGCGAGAGAACAGTAATTAAGCAGACTCTCAAATAATGTTCCCATCGACACAGATTCAAGGGATGGATGCTACAGTAACAGGCTTGAAGTTGCAGACTTTCAGGATAGAATTCTGGGACAGGCTCTCACCTCCCAATGGGGAGAAATTATGGGGAGAAATTATGTAGACCAAAGGTGATCAGGCCTCTTGTCCAACCAAAAGACAAAACTATTCACCTACCATCTCCTTTCTGGAATAAAAGAGGCAATGCAAACAATGGTAATTAAACTGGCCCAAATCCAATTGCTTAGCATAGTAAATTGCACCATAGTAAGCTTGTGCACTGAACACTGATGTGCAGGGTGCAAATTATATTTACGCAGGGGGATGAATATGGTTAGTTTCAGATTTTTAGTTTGTTTGTTGTACATAAATCCCCCCTCTTGCTTCTAATGAACCCAACACTCATTCCTCTCTGCAGTATCTTATCTTCACCAGGCAGGCCAGACTGAGAGAGCAAGTGACACAGTTGTCCAGTGAGCCCCATTCTTCAATGGGAACTCGAACTAAAAGTCTCAAAGTCCTGGTCCAGCATGCTAATCTGGGTATTGAAAATGGAGGCCGTACAGATATTTTTGAGGTTGCAACTTCCTTCACCACCAGCTGTGGTTGCCACAGCCTAAAAACATCTAGAGCAGAGGGCCCCAACTCCCGGTCCACAGCCCGGACCAGCACCGGGCCGCGGAGACAGACCTCCCACCCTGCCTCTCGCACACACTCACCCCCGCACAGCTGATTTGCGCATGGGCGCACACTCCAGCGCACCGGTGCAAGCCGTGCGCCGCCATTTGTGCTTGCACATGAGCATAAGCGTGCCCAGACAAGTGCTATGCTGCTGTTTGCACATGCGCATGAGTGTGAGTGCACCCACACAAGTGCCGTGCTGCCATCTGCACATGTGCACAAGTGCATGTGTGCCCGCACAAGCTCCACGCCACCGTTTGTGCATGCGCATGAGCGCACATTCATGTGTGAGAGAGTGAGCATGCGCTTGTTTCCACGTGTGCATGGCTGCAGGGGGTGCCCTGCCTTGCCCAGCCGGTCTGTCGGGTGAAAAAGGTTGGGGACCCCTGATCTAGAGGATACCAGCTGCTCACTACCTGCTCTATACATGACAACGCACTACCTCCTCATACTAGATTACACTGGGAGAGTCCTAAAGGTTGCTTGAAGTATCAAATACATCCCAGAATCCTTGCCATGTGCTTGGGCTCTATGGCAGATGCTAAATGTTCCCTAGAAGCAGGAAAACTACTGAGACCTTTTAAGAATGAAGGGCTGTGTTACTCACCACATATGGCAGCTACGTGGAGGGGTGTGTATCCTCGGTCATCTCTGGAAAACGGTGTAACGATGGACGGATCATTCAACTTCCTTCAAAGAATAAAAAGGGAAGTATTAGCAATACAAGTGATAAATATAATTGTCTTTTTAAAAAACCAAGCAAGACAGTCTGAACTACTGCAGAGTGGTGGCTAAGAAGTCATTATTTTAAATCTTGCCTCCACACTGAATAACTGTTATTAACAGCTTCATTTCCTCCCTTTGCCCTCTGTTATACCTTGAGAGGTGTACCTAATGCTGAAATAATCTACATAGACGCGTTTGAATGTATGCACATATCATCATCATAATAGTACAGTATAAGTAATTATGATGATATGTGCATACATTCAAAATGTTATAATAGTATATTATTATGCTATACTATTATAAATGATATAATAGTATAACATTTTTCAGAAACAAAGAAGAATGGAATCTAATAGCAATTGATTTGTTCAGAGGGGGAGAAATTAGTTTTCGGAACTGCAATGTCCACAGTGGCAGGGATATATTAGGAGCCACAGTCCAAAAAAGTAACTCTTCCTACTTCTTCATTTACTGTTTCTCCCAAACAAAACTCTCATCTGAAAATCAAAACATCCATTCTTCCACCAGTTTGGTTATTTTAGAAATACAAGCAAAGAAATAAACCATAAAAATAAATTTTGTGTGGCTATCTTTAAACATTGTGCACAGCTGTTGGACCATTTAACGCTTACCTTAAAACAACATCTTCCCTCATTCCACTCTAGTCTGTTGAAAGACTTATACAGATATAACAGAAAATCCAAGGTGGAAAGCTAAGCTGTGGTTCAACTCAAAGCCACCTAAATAAACCATGGTTTGTAAACAGACAGAACAAACTGTGGCTAGGGCAAACTACAGTTTGATCTTAGGAATGAAGTCAACATTACTCTTCACTGAACAGTAATTTTGCAGGACATCTGAATGATATCCTGCAAAATTTTGAAATTTTTTTGCAAATCTGACACTTACCCAGAAACCAGCTTCTCACATCTGTCACAAAAACAAAGTGGGTGACACATTTTTTGCACAGTGTCATTGTCGTCGTCTCCTTGGCTTAATAAGTGTTCCACTTCCCCTTGGTTGCCTGAAGCAATATGCTAGAAAGAATAGCAGAGGAAAGAAAGACATTTGTGCAAAGTCAGAAACCAAGAGACTGACTGAGGTGGGGATGTGAAGGGGAAGGCAGATGACTGAGCACAAGAAAGAGATGATTCACACATTACAGCAAATATGGATCTAATGTGAATCACATTTTGCACTGAGAAATTGCCAGATTTAATCTTTGGCATCTCCAGAGAGGAACATGAGAGGTTCCTACTAAAAGATTTGTATTGGAGAGCTGCTGCCAATAATTGTAGACAATACCAGATTAGATGGACCAAGGGTACAACTTAATATAAGGTAGCTTCTACTGAAGTGCCTGTGGACCAATGAGGGGATACAGCAGGTCAAAAGTGACCTGAGAGATGGAGATTTCCCGAGTTAACTCAAGCCATTTTTCTGCTTTAGCAGCAAAAGACATCTCCCCATCATAACCCCACACTTCCCAAAGTCAATTTACACAGTTAATTAAATCCTCCCAAGTTATTATGGCATAAAAGGCACCTCTTCCTTGTAATAATACAACAATCATAATTGAACACAAAGCTGTTTGCTACCCTTTGATGACACCCAAAGCATTTGCCTCCTTCTGCCCAGTGGCTGGGCTTAAACTAGAGGTTGTCCATTCTTATATTCTAAATAATCCCTATTGCTAACACCATTAATTCCAGCCCCATTGACGAGAGAAAATGGAAACTGTCCTCTAATTCAACAAATCACCAGATCAAGAGAGAGGTTCCCAAGAGCTGTCCTATTATCTCCTCTTTTCAAAAATGGTGGAAAAGCACAAAACTTTAAAGGAGAATTTAACTCTATATACAACTGAAGCTTGCATTTTCTCATGGTTTTTAACTGGGCACATTGCAGGCTGAGCCGATCCAACTAGGTGTCCATCTTAAGTACCGATAATTCTTGTTGAATCAACAAGGAATCAACAGAACAGGCTGATGAAAACACTGTTTTTATCAATCCTAAAACTACCAGAGAGTAATGAAAGGTTGAACTGAGGGAACGGGGGATCCAAAATTGTCAGTCAGCTGCTGTAAAGGTCTTCAAGAAAGAGGGTGCTTTTAGAAAATCTAAAAAGTTAACAGAAAATTAATACAGTCCAAACCTGAAACAAGCAGTCTATCGGAGTGGTGGACATCTGAGACAAGAGACTCATTCTTTGTGTTAAGAACAACTTCTCATTAAACCCTCTCAATTCCTATAAGGGAAGAGAAAGAAAATATAATGAATAAAAAATATATCACTGAAAATGCTTATTCTTAAGATTTACTTCTCAGAGTTGATCCATTTTGGATTGCAACCTTGCCCTTGAACTTGAATGCGGTTGATGTTATTATAACAAAAGAGGTTTTCCAATATTTTACTCTTGATTACTAGGACTTCGCATTTTCAAAATGCGTCCCATTCTACTGTATGCATCTTAACCTCCTCCATTATATCTTGGGACAGGATGCAGACAAAAGACATCACAGCATTCTCTTCCCTCTCTCCCTGCTGTTGCTTTTTTAACACCTTGCCTAATGAAGAAACCGATTGTGAACGCTTGCATACTTCTTTGCCCCTTTCGGTTGAACTCATAAATATATGGATTTTGGGGTATGTTTGGTGCCAATGCACCACAAAACTGTTGTCTGCCCACTCATTTTAAAAAGACGTATGTACAGATTTTCAAATATAAAATCAGCACTACCCACAAGGCTAAAGTTATGGAAGAAAAATATTAAGATGGTATAATATCACCAATAAAAAAGACGAGCAATAAAGTAAAACAAAATATATCACTACTTCATCCAGCATTTGACCAAATAAAACAGTTTAGACTTCGGGGGGCGGGGAGGGGATAAATATTAGCAACCAAGTATTTCTTCTCACAGCCCAACTAATCTGTGGACGGAGCAGGCTTGTTTTTCTGCAGCCCAAGAGTACAGAAAGAATGAATTCAAGTTACATGAAAGGAGATTTTGATTAAAGGATGAATTTTGTAACAGTGAGTCATTCGACAACAGAATAAACTGCCTCGGAGGATGTTGGATTTGCCCTCACTGGGGATTTCTAAGCAGAGGTTGGATTGCCCTCTATTAGGAATGCTTTCATCGACAGGAGCTCGATTTGATGACTTTTGGAATCCTTTCTATGATACCATCTATACTCGTCTATGATACTGTGAGGTGTAGCGGCTGTGCTACTGGACACAGCTTACAAAAGTTTTAAAATGAAAGGCAGCCCTTGAAAGGCTGAGGAGCCAGAATAGAATATTCCCTGGGAGAGCGACATGCAAACCTCTTCCCAATTCTCCAGTTGTCAAATCTGAAGCAAAGGAGGTGCTTAAGAAGTAGTAGCTGGCGCAACTGAATTTGCTGGTGGACCATTTTAGGGGTTGAGGCATCTAAGGACGCTGCATCTCAAAAGTGTTCTCCAGGACAGGAAGTAATCGAGGGCTTCATTGCAGTTGAGTCATATAAGCCATTGCTATCTTCCTGTCTTCAACATGGTTGTGCAGAGAAGAGGCTGGGGCTGTGCCTAATCTACACAGTTATATTTGTTTGATACGATGGTTCTATTCTGTATCTTGTGAGATGCAGTTTCATAAAATGCTTCAAATTATTTCTCACACATTCTTCTAAACGTCAGCATTAGACTTATATGGCGGAATCCTTAATACTGTATCTCCCAATAAATCCCAGGATGCAGCTATGACAAAGTTGTAATGTGGATACAGTCTGAAGCTGCCTCCCACTGATCTTGTTTGGTGTGGCTTCAAAATGGAGAGACAGCAATCTCTGACAAGACCACAGGTTTGAAGGCAGTAGGAAAAGAGAAACAGGAGAGGGACTGACTCCATAAAGGAAGCTACAGCTTTAACTTTGCAAGAGCTGAGCAGGGCTGTTAATGACAGAACATTCTGAAGGTCACTCATTCATAGGGTACCATCAATTGGTGGTGACTTTATGGCAACAAGTAACAACAATGTTTGAACTGACTTTTCAGTTCATAATATCGGTCAGCCCTTCAACAGGTTTATGACTGAACCTGAAAAGGGCATGCTGAACAATAAAGATGACAACTGATGATAGGATGCTTTTTATTGTAGGAAAGATGAAAATCAACTCAGTTATGAATACAGAGGGCTGCTGCTTTTGAGTTATTTGTGCCATAACTGCTAGAAAGCATGAGTGTGAAGGAATCATTACCAATCAGTTTGCCCGCACACTACTGCCTATGTTGAAAATACACAGACAAAAAGTGAAGTCTCAGTCAAATCTCTTTCCCTCTTAGGTTCAGCCTCCAAGAGTACCCATTTTTCTATAGGGAGGCTTCCAAACAATTAATTTGGTAATGTTTGAAAAGATCGAATGATTGGCTATGAAATATAATATCTGAAATGACACAGGAGAGAGCAGATGCAAACTTGAAATGTAGCAGTAGCAGCACCATGAAAGCAGACAAAATATATCCCATGTGCTTTACACAAAAGATTCACCGAAAAACTGCACTGCCAAGTTAAAATTAAATGCTGGCATTTAATAGTAGTGCCACTGTTTTATAGCTTTGTTCTGTGAATCTCCACTACCATTGGGAAACAAGATCAGGCTACTATTTACAGGAAGGCCTGGACATAAAGCCATGTTTTTAAAATTAAATGTTGGCATTTAATAGTAGTGAATCTCCACTACCATTGAGAAACAAGATTAAGCTACTATTTATTTGCTTAACTTACGCCCTCTCTTTCTAGTAGGACCAGGGCTCAATGACGTGATCAATTAAATTTTTGTATTTGATTAATTTCATGTGCAGGACTAGAGATAGGCACAGTTTGTTTATTGACTTTACGTTGATTAATTTCATGTGCAGGACTAGAGATGGGCACAGCTTGTTTATTGACTTTACAGGTGTTTGGTGCTTCCCAGACCTGCCTCCTCCGGCAGCCGCCTGCTGAGGGGCAGCCCGTCAGAGGAGGTGGGGCTGCGAAGTGCCGAATGCCTGTTCAGCCACTAAAACAACCAGCACAAATCGCCAAATCGTCAGTTTGTGCCCATCTCTACACAGGACTCTTTATTTCTAACTACAGTTATGGCAGCTTGGGAAAAAGCCAAAGCAAAGCAACCCTATGCCAATTGAGTAATATACAAACGGTATGTAAGGTGATGGAGAAATAGTAGCTTCTTGGTAGACTACACGTGTTGCAATCAATGGGTCCCAGCTTCACTTTTCCTGGTTAAAAGTGTTGGAGTATGCAGATCAATTGTGTCCCAGTATGCAGTGGGTGATTCTGCCAATCACTCAGTTCTCCCCTGCTATTGGGGCGCTATTGTGCGTTGGTCACTTCCTGCCCCTCCTCTCTCTTGTGTGCCTTCTTCCTTGAAGAAGGGCCTCTTCCAAGATGGAGATGGCCCGAGCACATGCTCTCTGATGGCTCTCTCTCCATTCACACTTGCATCCATGCCATCCATCTTTAGGGGATGGTTTACCCAGTTTAGAAACGTTCTTCAAAGCTAAAGAAACTTGCCTGGAATATGTAGGACAAACAACGTTCTTTATTTTTCACTCAAATGCTATATTTTGACGTTAACTACTGAAATACTAAAGTCCGTAGTTAACCTTTTTCTAAAGTTATTACAAGTTAACTCCATGTTTTTGACTCTGTACTTAATCCAGCTCATTGAGGATAATTGGTCAGAACACACAATGATCTTCAACAAAAAGGACCTCAAGTAATGAGAAAGATCTCCAACCAAGCTCCATAAAAGCAACTGGCAGACACCCTGTGCTTCTAAATCTTTGATCTTCCAGCTTTTTTAAACTTAAACTCATAAACCCTTTGCCATTAGCTGTGTTGGATGGGGCTGAAGTCCAAAACCTCTGGAAAACCTTGAGACCCATAGGATTAGACCACAGCAGATACACATACCTGCCAGAATCCATTAGGTCAGCGGTCCCGAACTGTTTTGGGACCGCATAGGATTAGACCACAGCAGATACACATACTTGCCAGAATCCATTAGGTCAGCAGTCCCCAAATGTGTTGGGACCGTGGGCCACCTGAGCCTCTGAGGAAGGCAGGGCACTGCCCCCACGCAGCTGAGCCTCTGAGGAAGGCAGGGCACCGCCCCCACGCTTGCATAGGCGCTCTCTCTCCGGTGTATGCGTGAAACGCTGGGGGAGCGTGCGCGCTCTAGCGTGAGCACTCCCCCACCCCTTTGCACATGCACCGGAGTGCCTGCACACACGCCCACACACCCACCCCTTCGCGCAGGCAGAGCACTCCCCCACCCCTTTGCACATGCGCCGGAGCACCTGCACACACGCCCACACCTTTGCGCAGGCACTCGGGTGCATGCATGAAGTGGTGGGGGAGCGCTCACGCCAGTGCTGGCACACGGACGCAAAGCACCTGTGAGGAGGGGATTATGTGCATATGGGGCGGGAGTTCTATCTCCACAGCCCGGTCCAGCTCAGGCCATGAACAGGCACTGGGCTGCAGACCGGGGCTTGACAACCTCTGCATGAGGTGATTTGCATGTGTATAAACTAAAATACACTCACTGTGACAACATGGTGGTAAACAAGATGCCAACTGCCTTGTTAACTGAAGGGCAGATAGGAAGACTAGGCATGTGTTTGTCATACAACCAAGTGAGTGTCTCGATATGAAATTGGAAATTCACTGCAACGAGTTATAAGATTTAGCTTATACACAGATAAATCACCATCAAGATTCAGGCCACTGCCCAGTCTAGCCAGCTAAAGACTACATAACTAGATGGGAAAAGGGGAGGTGGGGAGTTAAGCAAGAGACAGGACTTTTTCCACACATCCTTAGATCACAAGAATAGACTCTAACTTAGATAAGTTAATTTTAGGCAGACTAAGGCATTCCGAGAGTTCTGGTTTCCAATTGTTCTAAGCTCTAGGACAAATCCCATGTTTTGAATCTGTGCCTGCTCCTACCATTGCAGTTTTCATGATGCTGTTCTCACTCGCTGTCTTTTATTTTGATTTATTGTTAGTACTGTTTTTAAATTTTGGTTCTAATATTGTAAGCCCACTGAAGTGGAAGACAGTTTTGAAATATCTGAAATAAATCATAAACATGAAGTGGCTCCGGTCGGTTAAGAAAAATAAAGTGACGCTCCAGGACTAATGATAGTTTGGGCATTTGTAACAAAGTGCCACAACATGTCACAAGTGTCATGTGCCTAAACGCACAACTAAGATATGCCTGTGCCCCAAGTCAGTTAGACAAAGGGCATTATATAAATCCTATGTGAACATCGTTAGGAGTCTAGCCTATAAACACAAATAAGACTGGCAGAAAGAAAGTTCTGTGTCCTTCTTTTGGTGAGAGATTCTTCTTCATTGCTGTGTAAAACTGGCTACTCTACAGTCAACTTCATTCCATCACTCCAGCTAAGGAGAGAAGGAGAAAGCAGTAAGGGTTTTAACTGCATATTGTTACTTGTTGGAAGTGGCATAACTCTGATATTCACTTAAATACAAAATTAAAACATGGCATCTGAGAATGCATGCATCTATTTGCCCCGCACTTTTTTGGCGAGAGGGGTTTGAATGTGTTTCTCTGTTTACTTTCTGGTGGCCCTACACCTGTTCAAATACCTACTTAAGCATAAGTAGAAACAGATCAGGGCAGGCATGAGTGCAGTTAGGAGGAGCACTACAATAACCAATGAAGTCTTACACAGACATCTCCACTTGGTTTTGGTTTTAAATTTTGGAAGAAAATTGTGTAAAGAAAAAAGACACAACATTCACTATAAAAAAGGCAAAAGGAACATAGCCAAAAGCTGCAGAGATACAGGTTTCATTACCCATAATGTGGTGTAAAGGTTCCCCTTGACATTTAGTCCACTCGTGTCCAACTCTAGAGCTCATCCCCGTTTCCATTTAGTCCAGTTGTGTCCAACTCTAGAGCCCGGTGCTCATCCCTGTTTCCAAACCGTATGGCCAGCGTTTGTCCGAAGACAGGTTCCGTGGTCACGTAGCCAGTGTGATTAGACACGGAATGCCATGACCTTTGCACCGAGGTGGTACCTATTTATCTACTCACATTTTTACATGCTTGCGAACTGCTAGGTTGGCAGGAGCTGGGAAAAGCGACAGGAGCTCACTCCGTCACATGGATTCGATCTTACGACTGCTGGTCTTCTGACCTTGCAGCACAGAGGCTTCTGCGGTTTAACCCGCAGTGCCACCACATCCCTAAATACAATGTGGTATACCTCCGACCTAATTCTGCTTGCTAGACTGAACTAGCCCGCAGCGCCACCACGTCCCTAAATACAATGTGGAATACCTCCGACCTAATTCTGGTTGCTAGACTGAACTACAGTGAACCCACAGAATCAATGGGATTTACAACTGGTTGAATAGATAACCCACAGAATCAATGGGATTTACATAAGTACTGATCTACCAGTCAGCAACTGTTTGAATAGATCTGTTGAATGGGATTTCCAATTGGAGAAAACGCTCCCCCCACCCCAGTCTTCTAAAGTATCTTTTAATGACAGTTGATTTTAACCCAATTTAACAGGAATGTAGCGTCATATTACTGTAACAAAGGAACCACCATCCTTGGATAGCTGATGAGACTGCATCCATCTAGAAGGACTCACTGTTCTACACTACAGGTTTTTTTTGTCCTACAAATCCCATCACCCTTAAGCAATATGGCCAACAGTGATAACTGATGGGAGATAGCATCCAAACACCTCCCCTCAATGACAACTGATGAAAAATAACATCCAAAACGTCTGGAGGACCACAGTGGCCCACCCTCTAGATAACTGATGGGAGATAGCATCCAAACACTCCCCCATGACAGCTGATGAAAAATAACATTCAAAACATCTGGAGGACCACAGTGGCCCACCCTCTTCAGAAAAGGGGTGGGCAAATATGATCCTCCAGATGTTGCTGAATGGCAACTCTCATCAGCCCTCATCTCTTCAGAAAAGGGGTGGGCAAATATGATCCTCCAGATGCTGCTGAATGGCAACTCTCATTAGCCTAGCTGGAAGTGAAGAATATTTTTTCTCTTCCTTGTGGTTCATCAATGAACTTTCCTTCCTTGCTAAACAGGCAACAGTTGTGTGGATAGTTGGGGAAAGTCCTCGGGAAGAAGAACTGCAAGAAGTCTAACCCTTCTACTTAATAGGGGTGGGCAAATATGATCCTCCAGATGCTGCTGAATGGCAACTCTCATTAGCCTAGCTGGAAGTGAAGAATATTTTTTCTCTTCCTTGTGGTTCATCAATGAACTTTCCTTCCTTGCTAAACAGGCAACAGTTGTGTGGATAGTTGGGGAAAGTCCTCGGGAAGAAGAACTGCAAGAAGTCTAACCCTTCTACTTAATTTATATTTATATCTGAGTTGACTCACTTAAGAACTTAATCCGTATTGGAAGGTGGTTCTCAAGTTGAAAAGTTCTTATGTTGAATCTGCATTTCCCATAGGAATGCATTGAAAACCATTTAATCCGTATCTGCTCTTTTCCGTCCATAGAAACTACAGTGGAACCTCTACTTAAGAACTTAATCTGTTTTGGAATGGTGTTCTTAAGTTGAAACGTTCTTAAGTTGAAGCAAAATTTCCCATAGGAATGGACTGAAAACCAATTAATCCGTTCTGGCTGTTTTTTTGTTGTGTAGAGGTGCGTTCGTACATTGAAGCATTAGTTCCCATAGGAACTAATGCAAAGCTGGTTAATACGTACTCTACCACTAGGGGGAGAATTTTTTTTAACCTAAGATGACCTAAGGTTAAAAAAAGAGCAGGAAAGGTTTTTTTTCCTGTTCTTATCTTGGATTTCTGTTCTCAAGTAGAAGCAAAATTTAGCAAATGGAGCTGTTCTTAAGTTGGATTGTTCTTAAGTAGAGACGTTCTTAAGTAGAGACCCCACTGTATATTTATAACTGAGTTGACTAGTTTTCAACAAGGATTTAAAATATGACTGAAATCTTGTGGGAAGTAACTATGACTGCAGAAGAGGGATGATATTACAACCCCCTTCTCTCCTACAGCTTGTCCAACCTGCGAATTATCCATTCCTCGTGCTAAAGCCATGGGAACCACTGGTTGGGAGGAGTTTGTCTTTCATTACTAGCTGTGATAAGATGATGTCACTTGCGGGGGGGGATTTTTGGTAATGAAATAACTCTTTCTGTCCAATGATCATTGGGCTTTCACACAGTGAACTGATTCTTCTGAATTTGGAGAAGGGGCAGTAGAAAAGGAGAAAGCCTTCCATTACCTGAAAATACCTCCCCCCAGTAGCATCACAAGGATTGCAATTTATGAATAAATAATTCTGCTTTCAGTACACACAAAGCACCAGTGCAATTTTGGAACATTACTCTCTTTTAATCTTATTTAAAAAGGTTATCGGTGCTTTAGAATATTCACTGCCCATGTGGGGAGGATGTGGCAATATCCAACCATCTACAGCTGCAAGCCCCAGACTCTGAAACAGCAGCACGACGTTGCCCCTCGAGATGCACTGCAAGTGCTAAAATCCCTTGATATTGACTAGGCTGGCCAAGCCCAAGGAAGATCTAATCCTAAAATATGTGGAAAGAGAAAGTTGCTCACCCCTGCATTTGAAACAGTGCATTTCTTTTTCACTTTGGCACAGTTGCCAGTAAGATGATCACACTGACCAGTTTTAGCCAATTTTTTGTTATTTTAGTTAAAGTTTCTCTGCTTTAAATAACTGCACACATCCACTCAAGTTCACAGATGCATTTTATTTTACAAAAATAGCAAGTTACTGTCGCCCAAACTTTTCCGCCCTTATCTTTTCTGACTGCAAGTTGAGTAACCACATTTAATCAAACTTCCTTCACAATCAAACTTCCTTTACATGGAAGACCGAAATCTTACTGTGAGCTTTTATCTTATTTTTCCCTCTCCTCTTTCGGACACCAGCACTTTCTTAAACTTTATGCATAAATGAGATCTAGCAAGCAACTTATGGTCTACATTTGCCTTTTAAGAAAAGAAACAGCCAAGTGCCACACATTTGCTTTTGAGAAGTAAATCTTTAACAAAGTGAAAAGTGCTGTAAAACCACTTAAAAATGCTACAAGGTCTGTGACATGTTTTCTGGAGAAGAGCCCCTGCCTCTTGCAGTCAACCCTCCAGGCTGAGTGATTAAGCATCTAAGATTCGTCTCTCTGCAGTTGGGCCAGGTACAGACTTCACTGTGGAACAGAATGCACATCTTCAACCTCCAGGTCATACTGAGAGTACCTAGTTTAGGAACAACAGAAACTCCAAAGTGTCTTTGTGTTATTAGGTTTGAGGAAACTACACTAACTAGAGAAGTGGCATGAGGCCTTTGGCCTTCTGGCTGTTTCAGACTTCCATCTCCCAAAAGCACCATCCAGGACGGCCAATAACAAGGGGATTATGTGAACCAGAATGGCTGGATAGCTCAGCGGTTCAGGTACCTTGCTGTGAAGCCAGAGAGCGGCAGTTTGATTCCCCACTGTGCCTCCTGGGTGTGTGCAACCTGCACCCCCAAAGTGAGAACTAGTGACCAAAAATCCAACTGTGGAAAAATACATAGGTGAGGACAAACACATGTGGATTCCCCACCCCCCTTTGTCTCACTGCCTGTTGGTTGTCTGAATGTGCAGCTGTTTATTCCATATGAACATGCAAGAAATATCACAGCCGCTAGCTGCAGACTAATTTGCTCACAAAGTTTTCTCCATTCACTTCCATGAAGGAAATACTGCACCTGAACAGAATCCCTCTATCAGATTAATTTGCATGTTCAAGAGATCTAATCTGCAGTGGAGGATACTTAGGCCTACAGATCAGGAAGCAAAATTCACTACTGACATGGTACACCTTGGAGAATGCTTCCTACCCCTAGCACTCTCCAAAGTGAATCTGTTGTCCTTAGGGTTAGATTCTTAGCTGTGGACACAAGCTAACCGCTGCAAATTTCATGCAGATCAATTAGTTCACTATCCACAGAAGGCTGCCATTACAACGCAGCCAAACTGCTGCACGACTGCAAGGGATCTGAGAGAACCAGGAGTCCAGTATCCCCCATGACAAGGCTTACCGCTGGCCTGTCAGAGAGGTTTCCTTGACGGACGTATTCTATTGCAGCTTCAAATGAGGTCAGACAGTATCCTAGCTCATCCTTTGCCGAGCTACAGAACCGGAAGTTTTTGATGTAACTCAGGTTTGCCATCCTAGCAAAAGAAGAAAAATCAGTGTAAAGGTAACGTAAGAAGTTGGGAGGGAAGAGATTATGTTTATACATTTATCTAATTGGCCTAATTTTCTACTCAATAAAAACAGAAACAGAACATTATGTTATGTAAATATAAATTGGTATCTTGGAAAAGAAGAAGAAGTAGGAGGAGAAGAAATCTGTCAAAATTAAAAAATATTTTTTGAAAAATAAGACTAAAATATTAAAGGAAAAGTGTGTGAACTCCTATATCTGCATTTTGGAGGACAGCGCGTACTCCCATGATGCCCTTTCTGAAAAATTTATTTTCCACAAATGTCACATTTCTCACTGAAAACCCTCTTGTGCCTTCTACCAATTTTTAAAAAGTGTTTTAAGGGGTGTCTGTTCAATGACAAAACTGCCCCTTATGCACCCAATTAAATGTTGGTATGGGGTTGCTGGGGGGGGGTTTCTTAAGGATACCAAGGGCCATGTTTTGGCCCCAAGAGGCAACATCTGGGCCACCCCTGCATCAAACTGTTAAAACATTAAATTAAAATAATGGACAGCAATGGATTAGAACAGGAAATATTGATCACACTGAGAAATAATGTAGTCTACCTGTAATGTTCAAAACAATAATTTTTAAAATAGTTGTTGAAATTTTTGAATGAACTGTGATAGCAGGATTCATTTTTAACATAGTGTTCTCAAGTCCTGGCACCTTAAGCATTAAAACTTGTGTTAAGAGAGAAAAATAGCAGAAAAACCTGTAGGCTAAAATCCTGTTGCCTAGTGCACACTGCATCAATGGAACTCACAGACGAGCTGACTCACCAAATCTCCATTGATTCAATGGGCCTTCTCTACCACACAAAGCAACAGGATTTCACCTAGAATGTCATGCAATACTCACACACTTCCAAAAAGGCACAACACGTGCACATTCAAGACACATGGATTAAAAAATCTGCCTTACGTTATAACTGACGTCCAAGAACATAAGCACATTTTGTTAAATGCGTGTAATCCCTAGAAATAGCACTTTGCTAATACAACAGTTCTGCTGTAAGCATTTACATTTTTAGTTTCCATGTGCATTATATGAAGCTAAAGAGTTACCAAACTCTAATTTTGAAACAGAGGCTAAGACCCTGCATATTTTCCCCATGTTTCTGGGCAAAACCCTCACAAAAATGTATATTGCCCAAAGACCAGGAAAGAGTCTCCCAGCACTAAAAGCAACAGTAATATGTAAAACTGCTTTGTTCTCAAGCTGCTGCTAATAAAGCTTGTGTGAATGCTTTGACCTCAGCAGGTCTGTTCAGCTGGGTCAACACTTGCCAGCACTCAGCTATGCCATGATTTTGTGCTGTACATTGCCAGGGTGATACAACTAGACAATATACTTTTCTGAAGATTGATGTTTGGACATTTCTAGTCTGCAGCTGTAATGAGGTATATTTACTATTATTGATTATGTTTTTGGGTGCCCTTTTCTAAAAGGGATTAAAGATATTTTACCATTAAATAATACTGTAAGAACACATGTAAGAACAAAAAAGCTGTGCATAATATAAAACTTCACTTCCTTGTATCAGATCTAACACTCAAATCCTTCACAAAGTTACACTTATGCTGCTGTAAATCCCCAATGAGCGACATACTGTATTTTAAGAACAACCTTTATTAGCTGAAACGCCAGTTAAGACTGTGTTCCTATGTACTGCATGCTCTTGTTGGAGGGCCATGATATCTGACACAGTAATTGTGAGTCAAAGAGAACACGCAGCAGTGGTTTGGAACACAGATGTTGTCATTCCACATTCCTGTTAACGCTCTCACGCCCCATGGAGCCAATTCAGCTTCCAATTCTCATCCAGTTTATCCTACTCTTTGTTCTGAATTATTTACCGCATGCAATTTTTAAAATTTGGCAATTTAAACCAAATAATGGAACCAAACAGAAGTTCACCCAGAACCTGGCAGTGTTGTTTCTGGATTACATCTTCCAGAATCTCACAGCCAGGCATGGTCATAAAAGTAATTTTTCCAAGCTCTGAGTTTATCAGCAAGTTCACACCAAACACCAAATCACTTTTTAAAAAAACTCTTGTGAGTAAGCAGAAATATCTACAAGCATAATCCAGGTTCAGAGAAATCAATTTTGAGGAACTAAACAGGAGGAAATGACTGGAAGGTGGCTGTCGAAACTTAACACTTCCATGAGCAAACAGACAACCTTCTGTAGAGGAAGGAAGTGCTAGAGACTGTTAAGCACTGGCTATTTTAGAAATCCTTTTAGCTCCAGGGCCTGCTTGAACACGGTTAAAATGAGAGGCAGCATGGTGTGAGGATCTGAGTGGTTACCAGGGAAATGAAAGTTCCTCTCCACGGAGCCATGAAATCTATTGAATGAACTTGGACCAATCACTCTTTTATTCTGACCACAGGATCATTGTGAAGGTAACATAGGAAAACGAGGAAATGCAGAATATAAATATAACTAGTAAAACAAGTATAGCATTAATTTCTGAAGATGACAGGAACATGCTACCTACCAGTTTGGAATTTCTGTTTTCACAAGGAGATAAAGCAAGACAGAAAGGAGATCATCTGCACACATGGTCTCCATGTTAACTAGAGGGGGAAAACAACATTTAGAATTTAACACTTGTAACCAGGGGTTCAGTATCAAGTTAAGTGAGAACCCTTTTGACAGAGCGAGAATTCCAACCCTCCCATTCATCTGTTGCAGTTTTTAAAAAGTTAGGTTACTCTAACTTTCTAGTGGTACTCTGTGAATTCACACAATTGGGTTATCCTGTGCCTGCGCAGGAACATCCGGAAGATTCTTCTAGAGCTTAAGAAAAAAGAGTCAATTAGCTCCCCCCGTGGGGTATATAAGCCCCGCCTCCTCCATCTTCCTTTCAGTTTCCTAAATCCGCCGTTACCATAAGCTAGATAAGCATGGTATCATAGAACGGTACCGTGACGGATAGAGGGGAGGAAGGGAGGGATGTGTGAATTCACAGAGTACTACTAGAAAAACCAAAGTTACAGGTAAGGAACTAACTTTCTTCGTAGTGGTTTCTGTGAATGCACACAATTGGGTGAATAGCAAGCTGTACTCACCGGCAGGAGGGCTGTCACGGTATCATAGATGACAGTATTGCCCATCCAAATGCTGCATCATTTTTGGCTCTGACATCCAGTCGGTAGTGTCTGGCAAACGTCAGAGGGGTAGCCCAGGTGGCTGCTTTGCAAATGTTCTGCAGTTGGACACCTTTGAATAGAGCTGTCAAGGTGGAAACCGCTCTGGTGGAACGCGCCTTTAAGCCCTCTGGAAGAGGTTTCTTTGGCAGCTGGTAAGCCAGGTGAATGAGCTAAACAATCCACCTCGATACTGATTGAGAAGAAGCAGGAGTACCTTTATGTGATCCATGGTAACATAAAAAGAGACGCGGAGAACGCCAGATGGACTTGGTGCAGTGTAGATAGAAGGCAAGGGCCCATCTAACGTCGAGAGAGTGCAGTTTGCGCTCCAGCGGTGTGGTTG